TCTATAATTCTAGCAACATTTGTTAGCCTTTTTTCTAAGCTACCAAACATATTTGTTTGTAGTTATACAACCAACAGTTTTTGACACACAGGGACAGCTGTCATTTCGCGACCCATTAAAAATGTAACGTCATCAAATTTTGGGTCATTCTCTATAATTCTAGCAACGTTTTTTAGTCTTTTTGCCAAGCAACCCAGCATATTTTTTTGTAGTTCTACAGCCAATAGTTACTTTGACACACGGTGACAGCTGTCATTTCGCGACCCATTAAAAATTTAACGCCATCCAATTTTGAGTCATTCTCTATAATTCTAGCAACATTTGTTAGCCTTTTTGCCAAGCAACCCAACATAATTATTTGTAGTTATATTGCCAACGGTTTTTGACACACGGTGACAGCTGTCATTTCGCTACCCATTAAAAATTTAACGCCAACCAATTTTGGGTCATTCTCTATAATTCTAGCAACGTTTTTTAGTCTTTTTGTCAAGCAACCCAGCATATTTGTTTGTAGTTCTACAGCCAATAGTTACTTTGACACACGGTGACAGCTGTCATTTCGCGACCCATTAAAAATTTAACGCCATCCAATTTTGGATCATTCTCTATAATTCTAACAATGTTTTCTTAGCCTTTTTGCCGAGCAACCCAACATATTTGTTTGTACTGCTAACAGTTTTTCACCAGTTCCTCACTTTGCCAGATGGTGACAGCTATCATTTCACTACCTATTAAAAATGAACGCAACCCAATCCATAAGTTGAGAAACGCTGCTATATACTATATGGAATGAAGGTGAGAATAGTTCTAAAATAATACCATTTATTTATTTAACAAACGTAAGAACAAATTGTGAATATGCATTGTTTTAACAATATTTTAAGTCTCTTTCTGTGATTCTCCTTCCTATTTCGCACAATGAAATGAATACGGTTATGCAACATGGGCCAAGTACAAACAATATCAATGGAAACGCAATTAAATTTTTGAATAATATACATAAATTAATTAAAATAATTAAACGTAAAACATAATGACGAGACTATGGAATGCGGTTGCAATTTGCGGTTTCATCCGTTTGTTATTTATTATTCACAATGGAATGAAAATCTATTGATTCTGATGTTTATTGCGAGTAATTAAATATAAAACATTTATCAATGACACAATACAAAAATTTTACAATGAAATTAATCGTATTTTTCAATAATTGTTCAATTAGTTCAATACTTCTGACCAATAAAAATGTTTAAAAAATATTTTTTTGTACTATTTTTTTTTAGAATTTACTTTTATGTTTGTTCAATTAAACTTTATTGTTTTGAAATTTTCGAACCAGATTATAATTAATCCGGACTAGCCGCACTATGCGAGGTTTATTATTTTTGTAAATATTAATGCGAATAATTAAATTTAAAACGTTCGAAGCAAATTACAAAAATTATTACAATTTGCTTAATGGTAGTTAAAGTTCATTTAATAGTAATTTTTGTGAGTGTTTATGGAAAGATTAGGGTTGATCGTTTTTCTGCGGTTGATTACGAAACCCATTAAGTTTTTTTACTCTGTTGGCGCTTTACTGATATAACTGTGTGTTGGCCTTCGCCTTTTAAATTCATATTTCTGCGACCTCGGCGTTTTCAATTTAGAGGAAAGCCAAGAGGAATGTGTATGTTCATTGACAAAACTTAAGCAGAAAAAATAAATAAACGTGCAGGCGAAAAGTAACGTTTCTTCTTTGCTTTTACGTAATATTGCTTTCATCTAATAAGTATGTAATAAATATATTTATCAAGTGAATGTTTTCAGTTAGATAATATTTATGTGATATTTACTTTGGATAAAATATATTAATTTAATTAGGATAATTTAACCTTTCACTATCTATAAATTATGATCGTATATTTTTGAATACAAATTACCAGAACGTTTACATCATTGATTCATAAATCCTCTAAGAAGACTTCCACCTATCAATAATTCAATTATAAATCAATCAGTTAAGCTTATTTTCAACTTTTTTATGTAAAACTTCTATACAAATGTATATGTATGTATATGAAGATTTACTTTGTTTTCTCTCACTTTTGCTCTTAATTTCATGATATTAATTTATTTATTAGGATTTTATAGTTTAGAATCTTGTGAAATAACTGCACTTTTCTCAATTCGCATCACAAAATTTACATATAAACTGATCATAGATAAACTTGGACGTCAAAGGATTTAGTAAAACGTACATAAATGTTGATATGAAAACTAAAAATGCATAGTTTTTAGCAATTAAAACTTTCTTATTTTATAATCAATTTTTTTTCCCAATTTATATATATTCTTGCTATTAAATTAAATTCATTTATAACGATCTTATGAAAAACTATATAAAATCTTACATATTTTGCATCTTTTACTTTATTTACATTCTACTTAAGCTATGAATTTAGTGTTTCTAAAATATAATGTACATGAAATATCAGAAAATTCAAAATATTGATATATAAACTATGTAAACTAATTGTATATTAAATAAACCTGAAGTTGGAAATTAATATTCCCTGAGGATATTAAAATTAAGTGCACTATTGGGTAAACTTTAGTAAATTACACACATTTTGAGGTAAATGCGCAGAATGTTCATGAGATTGTACAAAGCTGAAACGGCATTTATTTTGATAAAATATTGACTTTATTATGTACTTTCGAAAACCCCTAAACCGAGCAAACAATTGTATTCCGTATAAAATACAATTCTCGAGTTTATCCAGTTTCCTTCGCAAGAAGATAAATCCGTCGTGAGAAGACGATGCGGAATTTATTAGAGCGAAAAATAAATCAATACGTTCCCGGTCTGCTTTCCTTTTCGTTTTGTATCTCCTATAAATCGTTGCATAGCAATAACTCGGCTTCGATCAGTCCGGATAATTCAATTAGAAAGTTTCAAAACGTACTAAATTCTATACAAATTAGTATAGAAAATTATTTTTTCTTTATAAATAGATTAGTCCGGTTTCTAATAGTCAGGCGAAACTGAATATCCGCACTATACAAGGTTTGCTGTTTTTGTAAAAACATATTACTTTTTTTCAAATGTAAATATATTTACTTTATCGATAATAGTGTAATTAATACTATTCTGTTTATATCCAAGAATAAGTATACTTCTTACCTATAACTATCATTAATGTTACATATGTGAAGTATAAATGGAAAAGCTTGTATGTATTCATCATTTTGTTTAGAATCAAATGCTTTTGATGGTTACAATCAAATTGAATCAGTATTTGTTTACTCTCAAGTTTCATCAAAGTTAAGCAAGTATTGTATATGCAACTATTATTGGATGTAACAGGAATTAGCCATTTGCTGCATGTAGTTTAAATAGGCTACTTGTTCGAGATACTCTTGTAAATTCAATTTAAATCCAGTTAAGTCTACGGTGATTAATGAGTGTTTCTCCTTTATTAGGAAAGGAATAAGTTTTCCTACAAAGATCGAGCCAATTAAAACTAATTATTCCGTATTTATCATGTACTTCAATAAATCAAACGAAGTACTTACAAAATAAGGAATTATATTATTATTTTCATATAAACTTCGAGGACGATTAAGCCCTACCCACGATATCGTAGGCGGCAGTTCGAATCCTGGTCAAGCCAGACCCTTTGTGAGCCCTATCGGTGCTTGCAGCCATCGTTCATCATAGATGGACAGTGAAATGAACGAGATTTAGCTTATGGACATTCTGTCAAGTCGATGGACAATGTTAAGGATAGCAGCAGATTCACAGTCAAAGGAAATTTGTGGAATCACAGAGCATCAATATACTACTGAAGTAATCAAATCATCATAATGGTAACCATCCACCGGGAAAGATTATCCATATAATATCACGCGATGTTAAATTTACTCAATGTTTACAGATTCTGAATAAAATTATACGACATAAAAAAAATATACTTCAAATTTTTTAACAATAATCTTCCAAAATGTTTAAATTATGATATTTGATGTAACTTTTAATACTGAAAACTTAAATTATGATGAAATTCTCTTGAAAACACATTAAATCTATTCTAATGTACAATTAATGAAAAAAATACATTGAGAATAATCCAATAATTCAAAGATTTAGTCAATTTAAATTAATTATTCGATATTTTATCAAATAAATATGTTTAAATCATTGTTGTTAAAATTTAATATAACTACGAAACTCTTAAGTCTAGTGGAAAGTTAAATTAAGGTGAAATTTCATTGTATAATAATAATTATGTACATTGTGCAGTGGGTAAATAAGAAGATTATGATGGTTTCGGTGTTGCAAATGGAGTTTCACACATTATCTTCGTCTCGATTTCGATTTCTCTTCTCTCCTTTGTAATGGAAATTGGAAAAGGGGGCACAGGTACAAATTATATACCTCCATCAAATACGAGGATCGCGTGCCGAGATTTGAATTACAGAACATACAGAGAACAACCTCGACGTCTGAAAATTCGCTGGTGTGTGTAGTGCGTGCGTGTGTGTGTGTGAGAGTGGCTGAGCGTGTATATATACACATGTTTGAATGTGTGCGTGTGAGTATGTATGTGTGAAACCCACACGCAACCGTGGGACCCATAAAAGGGCACACAGAAACCACCCGCCCACCAAAACAAAAACAAATCAACAAAAACAAAATGGGTTAATTTAGCACACACTGCAGCACATCCATGAAAATGTACCAGAACTGCGTGCAGCATCCGTCCAATCTTGCCGTTTAGGAAGAGAGGAGGATGAAGACGGTGCGTGCAGATGCGGTAGCAGGTAAAGAAAGTAAAAATAAAAAGGTAGAAAAGAAGAAAGAGAAAAACGCACACACTGAAACACACAGGAGTGAGTATTTTTAGCGTACAGATGATGATGTGCAAATGAAACGGAGAGTACAGAAGAGAAACGTGCGAGAAAGAGAGGCAAACTAAAATCTTATTATAGGTAAAAAAATCACATTGGTCTCTCACCTATTTCAAATATTCGATAATCCACATAAAAAAAATATATATCTTTTTTTTTATTTTGTTATTTCCTCGTCTTCCCGAGAAAATCACTTTGTTAAATCCTATTTGTTATATACTTCTTTTTTTTTTTACTTGTTTGTTTGTTTGTTTTGTTGTGTCACAGCGTAAGGAACGTCGGTATTTTTTTTTAATGCTATTCGTCTTTCTCTATTGGTATTTCAGCTTCCATTCAAGAATTTCTTTGATGATTCGTTTCGTGAAATATCGAAGGAACTTCTTCTGTTATAGCTGTTTCATCATCACTGGAACTGAGGCCCGAAACGTTAGAACGCGCGACGACCCGCATACCAAAATTGTATCGTCGAGCGTGTGGTGTTCGTGTGTGATGTGATGATGATGATGCCTTCCACTTCTAGTAAAACGATTGCAACTACGGACGGTGGCTGATCCGAAACGGAATCAGGATGATGATGTTGTTGTTGTTGATGATGATTCTTTGTTTCCTCTTCCTTCCTTTTTAATTTTGGTCGCGCGACTCCACTCTATTTTTGGTTTACTCCTCTCTTTGGGTGAAAAAGGCAAAAAATCGGGGAAAATAAAAATAAATAAACAAGTGCGACGAGTCTCGAGACTCGAAGGAGGAAAGGTCTTCGGCTGGCTGCGTCGGTGCACACCGCGGATGGCGCGCAGCGTCAAATTGTCGATAGCGGACTACTGCCTTTTCTCTATCCTCCGGCTTTCCAAGCAGCGCCGACAGAACCCGTTCGGGTTCGATAGAATCGCGCACCGAACATCCAAAATAGAGGAAAACGGGGATTCCTCGAGGTTTGCAGAGGGAGCCGCTGATCGGTTGCATCGTAACAGCTTTGAAGCTACCTACCAGAACAAAAACCAATAGAATTACTGTATCCCCCAAAAGATAGCACCACAAGCTTAACATCATCTGGTAGCACTCTTGCGTGGTATTACCACACCTATTGAAACCAGTGGCGGCTCGTCTTAAAAGCTGTCATACCAGATGACTGGGTTTTGAAAATTTCAAACTGTTTTGAATGAAAAACCATTCATCTTACCGAAATATTGACTCCATGGAAATTAGTAGTATAACAACCGTAATTATTCAATAAATAATTGTATAAAGTCAACAAAATCCTCTATATTTTAATAATTTTCTTAATCATATAAGTAAAAATAAATTAGAAGAAAGTTTTGTAAAGTTAATTTGTTTTATTTATCATCGTTATATTGGACAGTGGAACCTCGCTTAACGAATCCGTTTTGCGGATTTTTACTCGTATAGTGAAACATATTCAAAAATACACATACACAAGTTTAAAAAATGATATAGAAGGCGCGCAATCCGGGACTTCTCTTCTCATCGTCACTCGTTATGCGAAACGTCGCTCATTAAGCGAGTCATTTTTCTTACAATTAATATTGCTCGTTAAGCCAAATGCTCGTTATGTGAGGTGCTCGTGAGGTTCCACTGTATTTATTTTGTATCTTTGTAAAATTGTCTGAGCTCTATGACAATTATATTGTATATTTTCTCATATGTTATATAGTGTGGTTTCGTATTATATTTAAAATATTACCAAATGTATATTTTTCTAAATAGCAGTTGGTACACCTGACATACTATGTTTATCTGAATTTGTTATGTAATTTCAATGAATTTGTACAAATTTTATTCTTTGTATACTGACAAGTATGTTTGGTTGCCTCTATTTATCTTACATTACTTATTAAGTAGATGCAGCATTAAATATTTTTATGTTTATGACTTAGAAAGGCCTCCATTTGATTGAATGGAATTGAGTCGTATTCACATTTTATATTTATTTATTTATATACAAATGATTTCATATAAATTATTAAAAAAAACTAATAATATGAAAATATCGTTGGGTTTTTCAGTATTTTTATTAGAATTTTACAAATAACTAAAATAAACATTATAAATAAAAGTATTCAATAAATAATTTCTAAAATTTACATTCAAATTAATCTATTGAAAAAGAAATAGAAATGTACTTGTAAATACATTATTTATTTCCTCATAATTATATTACAAAATCAAAGATTATAACTTTTGGGGACCAGGGCCGTATTAAGTTTGTCGTTGTCTCTAGACACAAGTTAAGTAAATGAAGGGAGATACAGTCGACTATCGACATCTTAGCAACTAAACAAGAAAATATGTTTAGGTACTAGTTAAAAAATTATGACATGGGAAGCGTAAAAATACATTATTTCGGGGTTCTTTGATTGGAACATGCCTAAATTCGCCTATGTAAAAAGTAATATATAAATATCGGTGGCAATTGCAAGCCCGACAACCGAAATCCCGTCTATCGAAATCCCGAGTGTATCGAAATCCCGGCTGGCTCAAAATCCCGACTATATCCAAATCCCGATTATATCGAAATCCCGACAGTGTCTTTTATTATTATAAATTTCTACAATAACATTATAGTCAGGATTTTGATTATTGGGATTTTGACATAGTCGGGATTTTAATACAGCTGGGATTTTGAACGTCGGGATTTCGATATACTCGGGATTTCGAACGTTGAGATTTCAATAGACGGTTTTCGGTTGTCGGGCTTGCGATATAGACCCATAAATATGTGTAAATGCGAATCAAAGATTAGTAATTATTGTTAATTTTAATAATTAACACTTAATATTATCTAATTACTGTAACGTGGTAAAATCGACAACGCTGCAAGTGCGCTCCACG